GACAGCCAGCCGACCCCCCCCCCTCCGGCCTCGGCCGCTTCTCGCCTCCCTCCCGGCCCAGGTTGTCGGAAATCCACCACCTTCGTCCTTTCGTCTCGTTTGGATCCGCGGGGACCCCGGAGAGATCTCCTCCTCCTCCTCCTCCCCCTCCGCGCAGCTCAGGTACTAGGAGAGGCCGGCCGCCGGCATCCAGGCGGGGACTTTGCCCGTCAGGGCGCTGGGCTTCTCGGATGAAGTTGGCTTTCCGCGAGCCAACTTCTCGCCGGGACGCTGCGGCTCGCTTGCCTGGAGATTCGCGGGCTCAGCTCCTTCCCTTTCCCCCTCGGATGGCGATGGGGAAATGAGTGGACTTTCCATTGGGGAGCGCGGGGCGGCCTCCCTGGGTTGGAGGGGCAGAGGTCGGGGGGGGGGTGGATGCGGTAGGATGCGCGGAGGGGCGGTGGGAAAGGCGGCGGGGAGAAAGCGGACAACTACAACCCGGAGGAGCGGGACGTTTGGGGAATTCTAGGGGGTGGGGTGGGGGGAGAGGAGAGGGGAGAGGTCGAAGCCCCCGGGCTCCTCCTTCTCTTTCTCTCCCCCCCCCTCGAAAGTTGGGGTCTACCCTGTCAGGCTCTGCGCCTGAACGACCCTCCCCAGTTCTCAACGGTGCCGGGAAAATCTCGGGTGGGCGCTCAGTGACAGACCCTCACTTCTCTCCCGCCCGCGCTTGCCCAGGGGACTGAGACCCACCTGGCTGACTAAAATCCCGGCAGAATCTCTCAGCTCTCTCTACCCCCCACCCTCTCCTCCTCCTCCTCCTCCTCCCCAGGCTCGCAGAGATGCTGAAGCCCGGCGACCCCGGCGGATCAGCTTTCCTCAAGGTGGACCCGGCTTACCTCCAACACTGGCAGCAGCTTTTCCCGCCCAGCAGCCAACTGAAAGGCGGCGTGGGGCTGCTGGGCCATCCCCTCCAGCCGCCCGAAAGAGCCGCCGACCCGACCTGCGACAACCTCCGGCAGCTCCCGGCCTCTCTCGCTTCGTCCGCCTCTTCGTCCTCGTCGTCCTCGTCCTCGTCCTCCTCCTCCTCTTCTTCTTCCACTCCTTCGTCCGCCCCGTCTTCGTGCGTCGCCGCCGCCGCCTCCCTGGCCAGCTTGACTTCGCTGCCCATGGCGCAGATCCCTGTCTTTGGGCCGATCCAAAGCTCCGACCCAGCGACGGGAGCCCCGGTCTCGCTCTTGCAGACCAAGGACTTGGGAGGGGGCGGCGGCGGCAGCCTGGCCAAGTGCAGCGAGAGGGGGGCGTCCCGGTTTCGCTGCACCGCCGAAGAACTGGACTATTACCTCTACGGGCAGCAGCGCATGGAGATCATTCCCCTCAACCAGCACACCGGGGACCCCAACAATCGTACGTACCCACTGAGTTTTCTCTAGGCACGACGCAGGCCTTTGGGATGGAGGGGGGGGTTTCCTTGCTTTTCTCAAGGGCTTTGAGGCCTCCTATCCGAATTTGTTCCTCCACACAGCCGAGCTCTCAGGCAAACTTGTACAAGTTTTACTCCGAAATAAATTTGCCGATTTTTTTTTTTGCGAATAGGCTGGTAGCCAAGCGTGTAGCCAAGATTACAATAACAATCGCTAGCATATAGGACCACCCCAAATCCACCCTTAAACGAGAGGCATAGGACCCGACCTCCTAGATATCTGAAATATGCCTACAGTTTACTTTAAATTAAGCAGGTCGGAAAGAAGCTTCAAACTGGCCCTTTCAACCTTTGCATTTTGGAGGGCTCCCATTTCAAGGCAGCAGCCAGCGGGACTCCCTTCCCCAAAGTTTCATGAACTTAAGAAGTAAGCTTAAATTAAATCGTGGAAAGGATTATTATTATTATTTTTTTTGGCCACAAGTGTTCTCTGGAAAACATAGTTAGACCCCCCAATAGATTGTTTATCAAAGCCTTACCTTTACTGTAACTTTCTTGAAAATGAGTGCTTTTTATTTGATTTTATTTACTTTCAAGGTTTTCTTCTTAATGGTGTAGCAAGAGAGTTGGAAAGACTTTTCCCCCCCTATACTGAGAATACAGTCAAGGAGAAAGAAATTTAACTTGTTTGGAAATATCATACACCTTTCATTCTTATTGGCCCACTGGGTTTTCCTCACTAGTGTCCAAGCTGTTTTATAGGAAGTTAGTTTTCAAAAGTAGAAATGTCAGAACTATAACTGAGTCTCAAAACTCAATGGGGAATGTCAGAATGGATTTTTAAATTAAAAGAGTAATATTTATTTTATCGAAAACACTGGTTGAATTCTTTTTTGATAGTTTTCCCCCCCAAAAGGATACATATTTTGACAGAACACCTTTGTTTCAGGATTGTAGTTTGCACTGCATTTGCTTGCACTATGGGTGGCATTTGAAATTGTTTAAAATCTTTTTAGTTATCTTAAATGACAACATAATGAAAGCCTACAAATAATACATGAAAAATATATATGAGGAAGTACAATATAGTTGTAGCTTTCCTTTCTCCTAATTAATTAGTAGTTCTTCAACCCAGTGAAACATTCTACTTCAAACTGTAGGACTCACACCTTCGCTATATTTCCATGGAAACAAATGCAAGCAAGTTAGGAGAGTAATTAATTTTATTTGGGGCTTGAATGGGTATAGATCTGTGTGTGGCAGAAGAATCCGTGTAAAGTCTGAGTAAGAATACTTTAATTCCAACATTAGAAACCTCATCAATATAATTATGGTTTAAATAGCCAGGTTGGCGGGACAGAAAGGTAGCAATCGCTCAAACAGATATTTCCACTTGGAACTAAAACTTCCTTTCAAAGTTGCAGAAATTTCCCAGTTTCCCATATAGCTTATTGTAATAAGAAGATTACACTTGCATTGAATTTACATAAAAGTGAATGTCTTTATAGAGATCAGAGAATTGAAACAGCTATTTGGAAGGAAGCCCCGGGTTCCACGTTTACTCTAAATTTAGGGAGAGAAGAAGAACACAATACTAGATCTTTTTCTTCACCCGCCCTCAATGGGATATTGTAGCCTTAGCTTTTCTCTTTTCAACCGTCCCCTGAAAACGAGGCGTCAATTTGGATCCGTTTCCAGCATTTCCGCGGAGATTTCTCTTCGGGTCCTGCCTTGTTGCGTATCACCTGGTCGTGCGGCCGGTGGTTTTCCTCCAGAAGCGCAGGGCGGTTGGAGAGGAAGCGATCCCCC